TCTCTCCTGTGAGGAAAGGCTGAGGGAGCTGGGCTTGTTCAGCCTGAAGAAGAGAAGGCTGAGAGGGGACCTAATAAATGCTTATAAGTATCTTATGGGTGGGTGTCAAGAGGATGGGACCAAGCTCTTTTCAGTGGTGCCCAGCGACAGGACAAGGGGCAATGGGCACAAACTGAAGCAGAGGAAGTTCCGTCTGAACATGAGGAAGAACTTCTTCCCTCTGAGGGTGATGGAGCACTGGAACAGGCTGCCCAGAGAGATTGTGGAGTCTCCTTCTCTGGAGATATTCAAGACCTGGATGGACAAGGTCCTGTGCAGCCTGCTGTAGGTGACCCTGCTTTGGCAGGAGGGTTGGACTAGATGACCCACAGAGGTCCTTTCCAAGCCCTACCATTCTGTGATTCTGTGATTCTGTAAAAGCATCTTGAATGGAAGTACCTTGATTAACGTTTGGGTTGATCGGCTCTTACACAACTACTTTACAGTGGGCTATCCAGACCATTTGAGTCTATACCTTTTGGAAATAAGCTTTTTGTTAGTTTGGTGCTAGTTTTGGTTCAGTTTTACCTTCTGGATGATTTTATATTATACAATGTACGTATATTCTGCTTAATTGTATTACATTTTTATTGGAAATGGTTCTGCTATTTGAAGGATCTCCCCAGACATCTTGGTGACAGGGATTCCAACAGTCTTAACATGTTTAGTATCACACAATTACTGCACAGGATAAGACCTCAAAACCACAGTTCCTGTGATTACATAAACTATTTACGTAAAGTATCTTTCAGAATAATTGCTTCTGGCTGAAAGGAGCCTCTCATAATCTTTCCAAATAGATGTTATTTGTAGCTCTGTTCATTGCCTATTCTTGCCTTGAAAGGTAGTGGGGCTGGTGTCACACTGAAGTGTCAGAGCTGAGATCGAAGCTGTCATATGTGTGAAGTGTTTTAATAAACTAAGCTGCTTTATGATTTCGTGCTTCTATGAGAACAACATGGTTGTGCCATTAAAATTGTCTGAAATCACTGACACAGAAAAAGCCAATTGCTTCAGCAAATTCAAGTAATTGCAGGTTTGTTCTCCTTTTATTTTTTTGCAAACATGCCGTGAGATAGGAAATTACGCACTTTTCATTGATGAATGCGTACTGTGAGTTATCCTGGAACACTGCACAAATTAAGCAGTTGAAATCAGGGACTGTTGCACATAACATACACTGCCTAGAAGGTATTGTGGAGTCCTTAAGTGTGTAGGGACTGTAGAGTAAGTTATGTACTACAGGAAAAAGAGTACGGTAACAAAAAATCTCAGAGGGATGAGAGCTGACAGAATGTAAGTGTCAGGATTTGACAGGACAGTTCCTGCTTGATTTTAAGCCTGGAGCAAGGATCAAACTGTAAAATGCCGTGACTTTATTAACCTTTTTTTTCCATTCTATTTTTTGTTGTAAAGCTGGAAAGATGGCCTTGGATTATGTGCACTTATCCACAGACACCGACCTGATCTTATTGACTACTCCAAGCTAAATAAGGTCATCAGTCTGGGGGGTATAGCATGCTGTCCTGCAGTGATTTGGCTCACTTCTGGTTTGCTTAGCATGTTTTCTAGAACACAGGCTGAGGAGTGCATGCTAATTGTGACTGGCTTTCTAAACTCCCTCCAAAAAAACCCCAGTGACATGGAGGAAAGGACCCCATGACTGTCCCGTGCCCTCCTTTCCTTCCCATTACAATGACTTCAGCATTTAATTGCAAATAATCTGGTCCTCAGCTGCTAGGCAGTTTATGAAGTCTTCTACATGGCCCAATATGAATGTTAAATCAAATCACTGGAATTCTTCATTCACCACTGATGGTATTGTACAGTCCATCTTGTTTCATATCTGGTGTAAATGACTGTAGATTGCAGAGCAGTAAACAATGAGGTGATGATTAATCCTAAGATTCCTGAGAACAAACACTCTCCTTGGTACTCAGGAGAACGCAGTAAGTTACTGGTCTTACACAGAAAATATTCACCAATTGTTAAATTGTACTTCCTCCTAGACTTCCAGACAAGTGGAAACAAAACCGATATTCTAACTTCCTTAGGTAGTACCTCATGGGGATTACAAAACTATTTTATAACAGTGTGCCACTTCTGACAAAATGCGCATTTTCTAAAAGATATCAGCCACTTTATTTTGAGAGGGAGGAATGAGGAGCAAGCAATAGTGTCAGAACTTCTGGATACCATTACTGAAGTATAAAACCTAGAAAGAAACTGGAATGTTGTCGTTTCACATTAGCTCTCAATACACATGTATGATTTTCTGCTCTCTGAAATGAATGCATTCTGAGGTCTCACGTAAAAACAGAAAACTCAATCATGGTTTAAATTTGTTGAATCCAACTTTTCATTAATGAGAGAGACTGGTAAATCGTAGACTGTATTTTCCATTCCGTGCCCTTCCTTGATTTTACTAGTGGAATCAACAGTTATCAGAAAGTCTTTGATGAGGTAAAAGATGAATGAATAAAATGAAATTGTTTAAAAACTTCAGTCTGCATTATGCGTATGGTGAATGCCTGCTGGGGTCCCCAACGTGTGCAGTGATGAAAATTAAATGAACTTATTCCTAAACACATAAGGTTTTAATTTAGGCAGTTGTTAAGACAACTACAGATATGAACCAAAGGGCAACATATGAGCCATGAGCACCAGCTTGTTCTCTAATTCTGTGTATAACCTTTGCTATAAACAGATTCATGGAAGGACTAAGCTGCCTGTCTGCGTACATGTGCTTAAGCATGGCACAAACAGAAGTTAGTCTGATTCAGTTTGTGCCTTGAAAAGTGGTACACGGTACTAAAAAACTTCATAGTATAACCGTCCTATATATGGGTGCTGAGAAAAGGGAACAGAACATAAGCAGGTCTGCTTCAGCATTGCTATTTCCCTCCTAGAGCTTTCCAAAATAAGAACAGGTCAGGTTTCAAACTGAGGCTGAGCTGTGGCACGTAAAGCACATGCAGAAGAATCCTAAAATAGGTCTTGCTTTTCTGACCCGGCTGTGTTTGATTGACTGCTCATTTTGGTTACATTAACAGCTGTCTTGGTGTCTTGTTTCTTATCCCCTGCATGCTGGCCTTTCCTTTTCTCACCGATGTATTTTGTGTGAACTTATAGCTGGAAAGATGGCCTTGCTTTCAGCGCCCTTATCCATAGACACAGGCCTGATCTTCTTGACTATGACAAGTTAGATGAGGTATTTCTTTAGCTGTAGCAGAGATTTTAAGTGACTGTGGCTTGTAGTTTTGTTTAAAAGGATGGGTGATGGAGGTCTCCTCCAATGACTCAGAAGTTGCTGTGATTTTAAACAAATCCTTTACCAGTGGAGCACTGTTTACTCATGGACTTAGTGCCAAGCTCACGAATCGGAGGTGCTCATCACTCATCCCTAAGCGAAGTGTTTTAACCTAGTCAATAGGTCTCACTTAGATTTAGTGTATTTTTGTCCCATTTAATTTCAGTAAGTTTTTGTATACAAATTTAGTAAATGTTGTATTACACGATGTCTTGCATAATAGCAAAAAAAAGTTCATGGGTTTTAAATATTGTCCACACTTTAAGTTTCTCTTAATTTAAGTCAGTGATGCACAAAGCTGCTAAATGATGATAGAATGACAACTTACAATTAGACACTTTGCATTCTAATATACCCAAATTGTTACATTTCAAAATGTAAACTCTTGTTCATAACCCATTTGATTGAACATGCAGTGTTTAAAGGCAAGGCTTATGTGTTGATAGAAAGGTGTGTCATGGGCATTCACAGACTTCTACGAAACTTAAATAATTGCTGTGATTCCATAGTAAGTAATCTAAGTAATCTTACCAAGTTCATTTCAAAGTAACAAAAGAAGCATGCGTGAGACTAGATCCCTTTATAGGAAGTGTTTGTATTCAAATGGAAGCCCTGGAAATTCCCTACAGAAAACCTGTTAATATTTTTTCGGTGCCCTCCAGCATCTCTAACTTTACTCTTCTGTGTCCCATTTTCCCAAACTCTCTCTGTAGACATTGGCATTGTTCAGAGTGGCTATGATCATTTAGCAGTTTGTGAATATGTGAAAATAATAATAGTATTAATGGCGTGAACAGCCATTTCACATAGGATATTTTTGCTCTGAGCTGATATGGGAAGGCTGCCCTAATCCGACGCACTCTTCCATTGTCAGCAATAGCTGTCTGTAGTGTAAGACATGAAATGTGTGCTTTTTATCTGAGCTGTGCTCACGGCTTCCTTTCTATTTCCTTCAAAAAGCAAAATCGAAACCTTCCACAGCTCTAAAATTCAATTTATAGAGGTGTTACAGATTTCTCTGTCCAAACCAAAACTGGGAAATTTTGCTCCTTGTGGAGAGCTGCTTTTCTATCCGGGCTTGCTTCTTCTCATGCATGCAGGTAACCACCAGAGAAGTCAGCAGAATTCTTATCACTGCAATATAACGTATAGTAGGTATAAAACATGCAGGACTGACTTTGTGATGGACAGTCTAGCATAGCCTACTGGACCAGTGGCCTTGACTGTGTGTATTACTGCTGTACTTCATTCAGAATTCGCTCAGAATTATGAGAGTACACTGCATACATTATCTGTATTCCCCTCCAGAATATGTCTGCAGCAGAGTCCTAGTCGTACATAATAGCTTATAAATGTTTTCCTTTGATGGTGTAGCAGTAGATAGACCAAAAGTTCATATACCTATACTCTGCTTTTTGAAGAACAATAGTTGTGACTCCCCTTTAGTTTGGAAAAACAGAGTAAGTTTTACTGTACCTCCTGTAGTCTTGCTTCAGGGAAAAAATTTTATCTTTGACTCATTGTATTTTCTTCTTTAATGCAGGATGACCCCATAGGAAATATCAACCTTGCCATGGAAATTGCTGAAAAGCATTTGGATATCCCTAAGATGTTGGATGCGGAAGGTGAGAGTTATAGCTTACTGAAGTTTGTGTTGCTCACAAGCAGGAGACAGTAAAACTTCTTTTGTTTTGTGCCTAGCAAATTTTCAACGTTCCTTCCACATGAATCATAATAGAGCAACCTGCTTTGTTTTCAAAGAATGTTTTCCCCATGTCTTGGATAATTTCACTCACGTTTTGCTTTATTCCTTATTGTATGTTATTTTTTTGTATTTATTATAGTACTTTGGACCCTAACTTCAGCACATGACCCCACTGTGATAATAGAGGTAAAATGCAGGATCAAAAGATAACCCTTGCCTTTAAGAAATTAAAATCTAAGTCTAATAAAGGGAAATACAACCATGAGCAACTTAAAGCATATTCATTTTTTTAAATGTTCAAGTGAGAGGGCCGGAAATAGAAATGGAAGTACAGAACTTTCAAAATATGCTAACAACATGCCTCCTGTGAAAGAGAGCTAGGTTGAGGGAAGCATTTTTTAAGTTTATTTTAATTGTAAAACTTTTGCAGTGCTAGTTTTAACAAATAGTATCATATTTGATTTCTCCTATAATCTTTAGAGTTTGACAAGTAGCAAGGAAATATTTAATAAAGTTTCCTGAATTCCTTCTACTTTTGTACTCCAGGCAAAAAATGGTGCCAAACTACTGGGATTTGCCTACATTAGTTCAAAGCATTCTTTTCCAAATATGCAGACTCTGCTCTGGCGGCTTGTCAGTAGAGCAGTGATAAAACGGGAATTATCCAGAGTGCTCACTATGTCTGCTCCCCTTGAACTCTTTAGTAGGAAAGTTAGGCCAATACAGGATGATTTGGAAAACCCAGGTTGTAACCACTTCATTGAAGAGGTTTCTTGGTTTGACCTTCATGCTTCAAAACTAATTGTTTTCATTTTTTGAATTGCAATTCCTCTTTCAAGCACCACTTAAGTATTTTACTCTGAAATACTGTGCAAGGAATAAACAGAAGTGCTACCTCCTTACCGTTGAACAGCTCCTACTATCATCTTCCTTTCCTTATTTTTTCTCTTCGCATACGATGTAAGAAGCCTTTTTTTTCATCTCACCAGATTTTCTGCATATTCTAGCCCTTATCTTACTATACTCCTTGTCCGGGGAGGGGGATGATGTAAGAAGCCTTTTTTTTCGTCTCACCAGATTTTCTGCACATTCTAGCCCTTACCTTACTATACTCCTTGTCCGGGGAGGGGGAAATGAAGTCATGCTTCTTCTAACACCCTCTAAGTATTCACCATCGCTTTTTACTCTCTTTACTTCCACTGTGTTCTCAGTGGAAACTTGGCAAAGTTTTGTTTATAGTTATGTGAAGTAGATGCAAAATCAGGGAATGCATTAGTCCTGAACTTAAAAATCTCACTGTTAATATTAGAAATTGTCACCTCATTCCTGGGTCTTTTCACACCAGTATCTTCCCGCTCCTGACATTGGCAGGAATCCTTGCAGCTTGCACTAGATCATTCATCGCTCAGCCATAATTGTTGTAAACCCACCTTTTTCTGCCTTTCTCTGTTAAGTATTGAAAAGGTCCATTTTTACCAATGTACTCACCTTGACACCCTTTCTATACTTTCCCTCTTTCCTGCTGTAATAGATACAAAGCTATCAGCCAGCCAAACCAAACTCTTCTGTGATTTATGCTGTTAACTACAGACTGGTGCAAGGATTGCAAAACTGTTACTACCCAGGCTTTTCTTAGCACAAAATGTATTTCTGGACTGCAGGAGTTCTCCGGGTTTTCAATGTATGTTGATACCCTGTCAGTCACAGGGACCCTGTGCTAATATACACTGTACACACTCTATTTTGTGACTGTCAGCATCTGTGTTTAAGTCTGGAGTAATTCTCGTGACTTAGGTGAAGTTGCTTCGGAATGACAGTGAGCTGAACCCAGTAGATCTTGTCTGTGTTTAAGTCTGGAGTAATTCTAGTGACTTAGGTGAAGTTGCTTCAGAATGACAGTGAGCTGAACCCAGTAGATCTGCCAGCCGTGCCATCTGCTTGGAAGTTCCCGCAAACCAGAAGGCAGCAATACCCTTCTGTGCGGTCTCAGCCTTCGGATGCTTTGCCACTTCAGGGAGAGTTGTACCTTTTCCATTTACTGATTCCTAAAGCTTAGCTAGCTTTGCACTGATGTCAGTCAACAGATGCAACCTGCATAATGGTGTATTTATTTTGAATCCTTACAGCACTGAGGTGGCATCATCAGCATAATCTGGTGGAAGTACCTTGGGAGAATTTCTGAGCAGTTAACCCTCTTCTCTCTACACAGATGTAGTAAACACTGCCAGACCTGATGAAAGAGCCATTATGACTTATGTTTCCTGTTACTACCATGCATTTGCTGGTGCTCAGAAGGTGAGATTGTAGAAGATGGATCAGATCTCATCCTTCACCTTCTGTCTTCTTTCAGCAGTTGTTCCTCTTCTGATCTTTTCCTCACTAGTTACTAGGACGGCATCTTAGAGCTGAGCTCGTTTCCTGTTGCCTGATTTTCTCTGTGAGCCACTGTCTTGGTAGAGCCAGTAGTAGTCTATCCATTTGTTCCATAGAAGCAAACCTCCCTGTCTCATCTTTCTGTATATTTACTAATAATATCCAGTAGGTTTTTGATAGCTGGTTACTGAGCGGGATAGAGGACATTATTCTCTTTAATTGAACTTGTGTGCATTCATTTGAAGCGCCTTTCAAAATGCAAGATGAAAATAAGCTTATAGGGGGAAAAAAATTTCAATAGCAGAATGCCATCTTTTTTCTAGCTGCTGGATATTATTCCTGCTACAGATGTCAAAAGCATCATAACAGATGCTCGGAAAATAAACCCTTCTCTTACGCTTTCAGGATTGTTTTTAAAATGTTAAATGATGAATGGTAAGTACAAACAGCAACATAAAACATTGGTACTATGCAAAATAGACACAGAAACAGACACAGGCATCTCAGAAGAGCTTTGGGATCATGTCCAAATGAAAAGAAGGAAAATTTTAAAAAGCAAGGCAGTTCAGAGTTGGACATGCTTCAGGTATTAGTAATAGAAAGAATAGTGATATATAATGCTAATCCACATTCAACTTCCAGAGAACACCTTCCCAGATCAAAATGTAGTCTCTTTCCTGTGTCTTAGTCAAAAAACTCCCATGTTCAAAGTCACCAGACATATGCATGCCAGTTCTTAAGCAGGCAGTCCTGGTAAAATTAAGGTCACTCCCCCTGTGACAATACTGCAGGATCAAGCTTGTTAAAAAAAATCCACCTCATTATTAGAGCTTATGTTGAATTTCTAGTGTACATTTTATTCTGTTAGCACCCATCAGTCTAACATTAGATTTATTATAGCTTTGTAGAGTTTCTAGAGTACAGAGCTATGGACAAGAAAACAACCAGAATGACACTATGTTTTGCTTTTATTTATTCTTCCTGTTTTCTACTCTTCGATTATTTTTTTTTGTTTTGTTTTCATTTCTTCCCCACTCTTGTAGATATTGTGAACACTCCCAAACCTGATGAGAGAGCTATCATGACATATGTGTCCTGCTTCTACCATGCTTTTGCTGGAGCAGAGCAGGTATTAATCAACTGTCCCTTCAGGTTGCTGTGTTTTTGATTGGTTGTTTCACATTTCTACGAGTTTATTAAAAAAAACTAATTTAGTATTTTGTGGTTTTAATTAACAATTGCGAGTATTACTGAGCACTAATACTTGTTTTTAACCAACACTTGAACCTGTTTTAGTTAAATGTTGTGTAGCGAGTTGAACTTCTTTAATTCCAATGGACATTCCTGTTTCTAATTTTGGGTATTTATTTGATGGTTATAAAGACTATTTCAGAAAAACTGTATTTGAAGATACCGTGAAATGGAGTTGTTGTTTGTTGCTACATCAACATCTTCTGCATTTACTGCATAAAAGAATGTTTAACTTTTGGAAATTGACACTATTCTAGACTTACTCATGCTGAGTAGTAATTTAGGGCTAGATTTTCAAAGATGCCTAAAGATGCAGAAGGGCACAGAAGACATCCAACACAGTATTTGTGCCTGGTTCCCACTGAAGCTAACAGAATTATTTGTGGATCAAAGTACTAGTATAAGAGCCAAGAACATCAGCAGCAGATCTGTCATACAAGATGGGATTCTCACTTACAAGTGTGGCATTTCCCACTGTTCTCCTTCATCCATTTCTTGCCTACAAATGGACATAACCCAGCTAATGTGAAAAAAAAAATATAAAGAACCGTTGAAATACTTGATGTTTCCTTCATCCTCTCAGAGCATAGCTATGCTGTTGTGCCCTCTTGCTTCTGGATATGAAGGGTTTGCTGTTCATGCAAAAGTGGGATTCCACATTCTCTGTAACACAGGGGTCTACACATTTATTTGTGTGAAAGTATAGATCTGTTATTGTCAAACTATTAACATAAGTTTTAAATATGGCAGAGCTGCATAGTGCCTTCACAAATAAATTTGACAGGAGGCATGAGAAGATTTGATCTCAGTGGTTGAGCTGCACGTATTTTCAAGGATATATGTACATATGATGTGCAGATATAGAGTGGTCTGGAACTCCTTAATCGCATGCGGCGTCCTTCCAGTGTGGCTAACAAATCTAGTACTTCTTTGGTGTGATTTAAAAAAATTAACCTAAATGGATAACTTTAAGAATGGCCTAAGTCACCTTTGAAAAGAAAAGATTTATTAGACAACTACAATGGCAGCGTGAAATTCACCCTTATATAATAAGGCTTCGTTGTACAACAAGGTGACTTCTGTGCTGATCTGTGCCTTATTCAGGCTATTGGAATCTGTGACTACTGAAAGAGGGTAAATACATATTTAAGTAACCTAGGAGCACAAATCAACAACTATAAAACAGTGTGATTTTTATTTGCAGCAGCCACATTCTCTCCTTTCTCCAAGCCTGTACCCTTCTTAGAATGTGCTCATGAATATGTCCTGTTTATTTTCTGTGTTTTACAGGCTGAGACTGCAGCTAACCGGATCTGTAAGGTGCTTGCTGTGAATCAGGAAAATGAGAGGTTGATGGAGGAGTATGAGAGACTAGCAAGTGAGGTAAGGACAGCTGTATTTGTAACGTGGTGATCATTACATTCATGAAATACTGCAAGCTGAAAGATTCATGCACTGTCTGCAAGACAGCAAAGTGAAGACACTATGAGGGTAAATCTCACAGTGGTAGGATACAAAGCTCAGTTGCCCAAGATGTCAAGGTTCAGGTGACTACTTTGTCGCAGACTTTCTGTGTGACCTCCAGCAAGTCACTCAGTCTCATTAATGTGCTAAAAAGGGTGTTTTGAGGACTGTTAGTCTGCCCAAGATGAGGCTTGCTGTCTCTGTCATCTCCGAAGCCAGCCATCCTTGACCAAATGTGGAACACACAGGATCCTGCCACCGCAAGCAAGCCCGTGGGCTTTGTGTACTGCCTAGCACACCTGGACAGGGTCTCTCAGGGTGTTCATGATGCCCCTGTGAATACGGGCAGCAAGTGAGTGAAGAAGGGGTCACATAGTGCTCCTCCTGTCCTTTCTTGGTAAATGGCTAATTTGTTGAATCAGGACTACAGATGCGCAGTGCACAAGTGAGAGCTCTCTTGTTTTTAATGCACAACCTGCAAAAACATGCTGAGATCATAGACACAAAGACAGTGGTGCTCCATTGTCACTAACGGACTTCTGAGTGAAGATTTTTATATGACCTGAGTTACTTGGCTGGTGTCTGTGCTGATCTCATGACTACTTGAGAAATCACGACCAATCCTTCTGAAAGTGGCAAGTGATTTTGTATAACTCAGGTTCTGAGCAATTAGCTAGAGACACCTTACGTGTGTATTTATCTTTCTGAAATCAGGGTATTTCTAGAAATACCTAGAATATCTAGGCAAATTAGTAAAAAAGTATTGTTCAGCTTTGAAAACCTTGTGCTTACTTGCCATTAAGGCACTGATACCAACTGAAGTCAATAATATTAAAATGGAGCAAACTTGATTAGGATTTCTGCATTCAGTATAATCTTTTTTTGGTTGCTTTTCCATTGCCTGTATTTCAATTGTTTGTGTTGGTTTGAAAGCTTTTAGAATGGATTCGCCGGACAATTCCTTGGCTGGAAAACAGGACCCCAGAAAAAACAATGCAGGCTATGCAGAAGAAACTAGAGGATTTCCGGGACTACCGCCGCAAACACAAACCTCCCAAAGTCCAAGAGAAATGTCAACTGGAGATCAATTTCAATACCCTGCAGACAAAACTGAGAATTAGCAATCGGCCAGCTTTCATGCCATCAGAGGGAAAAATGGTTTCAGTAAGTAAAGGAGACCTCAATATTCCGTTCTCCTTTTTATCAATGTTCTCACAAAAATTTCAATCTGAAGGACTGAAATGGCATTTCAAGTCATCCTCAGAAACTTCACTTTGTTGTGCTTTACCATATCAAACTGCTCTTTTTACATGTTCTCTTTCATTCCACAATCTTGCTTCCTCTTTGCCTCTTTGAAGGCTTTCCCCAAGAGCAAATTGTCTTGAGACATGAGATTATACGGAGCTTTCTATGGGAATGTTATCAATACTTCTCTATCAGTGAGGTCAAATATTGTTGATTTAAACAAAAATCACAGTGGTTTCACTGACAATTTGGTCATCAGACTTACAGAAACAGACATTGGTCAATATATGCTTCTGCTTCTTTCTACTTCGTAAAATTTGTTGTTGTTTTTTCTTATGTCTGTGAAGATAGGAGTAGTCAGCACCAAGAATTCTCATCTGCTGATGAGTAGTGAGTTGGCTGTGGGTCAAAACATTTCCTGTGGAATATAGCAAACCTGCTTCTGTACTCTGTTCTATCGTTGTGTTTTGGTTGCTCAGATTTGATAAACAGATGATTGCACTATCTGAAAAGGGCCATTATCTACTCCCTGTGCATAGAAAATAAGGGGCTGGCCCGTCACTTCAGTTTCCTGCTTCTGCCTTTGAGTTTCCGAGGAAGCTCACAAAACTTTGTGCACGACAGAAAGTGAAATGAGTTTGTATTCCAGATAAAATACACACCCAATCCTCTTGACACTTAAAATTTTGCTATTGTCAGCTTCTGAGAGCAAAGCACTTTTATTTTGACATAAGACAGGTATGTCATAACTGAACATGCACTTTGTAAAATGGGAGGTAAAACCAATACATTGTGAAGACACTGAACGTATAGCTATGCTTGGAAGCCACTTTATATAGGGATTCCTTTCAAGAACCCGCCTGAACAGGGCACACTATTAGGAGCAGATTTCTGGACTAGAAGACTTCCTTAGCTGCCTGATAACATTTTCTATGATTCTGTGATTCTACAAAAACTGGACGTAAAAGCTTCTCTTTTTGGAGCAAAATTGTGAATGAATCAGAAATCTGTACGTTTGGATAAAAAGAGATTATAGTTTCATCCCCTCACTCCTATGTATTCTCTTCACAGGATATTGCCGGCGCTTGGCAGAGACTTGAACAAGCTGAGAAAGGCTACGAAGAGTGGCTGCTGAATGAGATACGACGACTGGAAAGACTTGAACACTTGGCTGAGAAGTTCAGGCAGAAGGCTTCCACTCATGAACAGTGGGCATACGGTGAGCAGAGATAGCTTTTAACATTTTTAAAGTTTTCATGTTCAAGGTTGAACTGTCAGTGCTGGATATTTGCCAGCCAGAAACTCACTCATAAGTAGTTTGAATGGTTTTAGAAACCTAAAATAATAACAGATAAAATCGCAGGGTTTGTTGACTATAGTCATGATCCTAACTTCTAGGGATGTTGCTGATGAAATGCAACCGTAAAAATCATACTCTTGAGGTAGTGAGCCAAACTTAATGGGAATATTCAGTATTTGAATAGAGGCCATTACTGCTAATGCATTCCTATGTGTTTGTACAGCAGCAATCCAACCTGCAAAGCAGTGACACCACTGCTTAAATGTGAAATTATTAACAGAGTGATTCTGAGTTGATTATCATTTGGCCATCATGACGTTTTTTGTAGTCCACATAAACTACATGATAACAGACTCATTTCTGCTTTGCCCCATACCCTGGATTACACTCCATTTATAGTTCTGTTTTTCAGTGGTAACCTAACCTTACGTGTACACCTATAGGATCATACACTGGACACACAGTTTTGTTGGGGACCATTAAACATAAATCTGCTCTATCATCCTATTGTTTGCTCTGGCACCAGTCTGCCTGCCTCTGCCACACTTCTGGCTTTTTCCAGCTAGAATCTTTTCAGACTGTGAAAGTAAACCAGAGTCCGTCCCGTAACACAGTTGCTGGAAGCATACAAGGCTGTAAATGGCTGCCAAGCAGTTACTGGAAGGGAAACTACAGTGTTTATCAGCCCTGAGAGCCTATTTTCTGAGCATAAACTTCTCATGGTGACATGTTACAGCTGTTATGCAGGGAAAACTTCACATAAGCTGGTACATAGCAAGTGAAACAGTAGTCCCTGCTGGCTCTAAAATTCCCAGAGCTTTGTAGTGCCATGTGGTGAGCTGCAGTTGTAGGTTGTCTATAGATTCACTTGTCCAACACAGGGGCTACTGAGAAGTAATATTTCAGTTTCTAATTTCCTCTTTGCTTCTCTAGCCTTTTGTAAATACGTTGGCAGTTTCCACTTTAAATTCAGTGTTTGATACAAAAGGCAGCCACACATCTCAATTTTCATTTTTTTGAAGTGCTGAAATGAATAATGAATTGAGGGCAGAACATGAAAAAGAAAAACAGGTCATTAGGAAGAGTGTAGCTGAGCGTAGCAGTGTGATTTCTGGTTTCGTAAGTCTGCTCTACAAAAGACTTATCATAGTAATTTAGAGCATCAGTTTTTACCAATCTAGCATTTCTATGCCAGTTTTTCAAGCAATGTGATACTTGCTATTTTAGACCAGCATAAGCAGCCTGTGCAAAAATCAAGGAATTACTGAGAGATCTTTAAAAATAAATATTTGTAATTAACACTGTTGTGCTGACAATTTGCTGCTGATTTCAGTGGGGGTGGGACTTCATCTCACACATGTGATTTTCACCATGCCTCAGTTTAAGAAGTTGACTTAATTTGCAATTCTTCTAACCAATAAATCAGTAAAAAGTGACTAATATTTTAATTTCCTCTTTCAGGCAAAGAGCAGATCTTACTTCAGAAGGATTATGAATCTGCTTCTCTGACAGAAGTCCGCGCCATGTTAAGGAAACATGAAGCTTTTGAGAGCGATTTGGCTGCTCACCAGGACAGGGTGGAACAGATCGCTGCCATTGCCCAGGAGCTGAAGTATGTTCCATTTAAAGGCTTGCAGCTGCTGACATTTAACTTTGCGATAAACTCTTTCCAATGAATTTGATAGTGTCATAGGTACCAACGTAAGAATTCCAGAGATAGCGTCGTAAGTATATTATCTGAGCTGGTCACTGAGACCTTTCCCTCATCTTCCCCTTACACCCAACCAAATATAGATATTCAACTGACCAAAATTATTTGAAAACAAACGTTTGAAAATTGACTTAACAGTAATCTTCTAGCATTAGCTTTACTGATGAGTCCATTGTGTGTTGATGGGAATGCTGGAGGTGTTTAGTTCTCCGTTCATATGGTCTGCTGAGACATATTGGTTATGAGTTGTTTAACTTATACAATAATTTAACTTGCACAAATTACAAATCTAGCATCTTCACTTTAAAATCAAGTATTTTTCCACAAGTATATTGGTCCTTTCGTAAGACTTGACATCCCTAAATTATCTCTGTAGTAGTGGGTAATGCACTGACTTTTCTGGAGATTTCATTTTCCCTAGTATACTTGTTTTCACAATCTCATCCTGTTATATTTGGAAGTGCCATTGTCTCCATTTTACAGAAAGGGCAGTGAGGCATATGGAAAATAAACAGCTTGCTCAGGGTCACGCAAGCAATCAAGCACACAAGCTGTCCTACAGGAGAGCAGGAGTTTTCACCCACAGTTCCCTCAGCCACAGGACCAGTGCTTGCTCACTCGGCATGCTGTATGCCCAGAGAAAACAACCAAAGCCGAGTTCAGTTCTACAACCCATTTAGGCTACATCTGTATTGCTGACATCAGCTGCATAGGTCAGGGATGTGAAAAGTCACGGCCCCTGACTGACAGACACCCTTATGGCAGCAGAAGTCCTGAGTGTTGATGCAGTTACTCTGGCTAAACTCTGTCTTTACCAGTGGAATTTGTTTTCGTTTGTGGGAAGGTTGTGAATTCACCTGTGCGAAGAACAGTTTTGTCAGCAAATCTTTGCCCACAAGGACAGGACTGTAGTGTTACATGCTGATGTCCCTGTTCTGGTAAAGTCATCTCAGTGTGTACACCAAGCTAAGCACATTTGGTTTTATAATCTTGTGCAGTTAATTGCAGTGGTTTTGCACTGGGAATCAGTGGCGCTACTCCTGATCTTAGCAATTTGGCACATACTTAAATTCATTGCTCACCCGCAGTGTAAATCTATAAAGCCAACAGGAACAAATGTGTGGTAGTGGTCGAAACAGGAGCCAAGATCAGAATTCTCAGATTCCTGCTTTGAGCTTCAGCTCTCCAAGTTTCAGTTTCTCACCTTCTTGAGTAGGCAAAACAGTTACTACTCAAAAATTGGGTGTTAAAAACATGCCCTCTTTTCACTTCGTGAAGGACCATGACTCATAAAGAGCTCCACATTCATTAACAATTTAAAAAACAGTTGTCTAAAAATGTAGTTCATACTTGGATAGCAGCAGCAATTACAGTAATTGTATAGTTCAAATGGATTTACAAGAAAAATCCTATTTTTCAAGCTTACTTAAAGGAGGAAAAGGAAAGCGCAGTGGGCAGAGTAAGTACTAGTTTTCAGTTAGTGTGAAAAAAGTCTGAAAGACACAGAGAATGGAGATTTCACTGATTATGGGAGCTTATGCAACACCTTCTGCCATGCCTCGAGCTCTGTTGTGTAGTTATGTGTTCCTCTTTATACTAGAGAAAGTTTCTGAAACACCTGATCATTGCTAATTCAGCTTGGGCTTTACAAGTGATCAGAAACTTTGGGAATGCCGTATACATAGCACAACATCTGCTTACCAGCGTTTCGAACCCTGTGTCCTTTACCTCTGGTGAGGCCAGTGAACACTGTATCCTGTCTATTTTAGGATTGTCTCTTCTCAGTTGTTTCAGTAATTTGCTGTGTGAGGTTAAACCAGTTATTTGTGGCCTGGGCTGCAAAGGTGCTGAAAACCCGTTGCTTCTAGAGATGCTCTGCTTTGACTTCTCTGCTTCTCCATACAATGGGGCTGTCACTGCCTGATTTTTCACTGAGCCTGAGTAGCTCAGTTAAGCTTAATGCCCTTGGAGAACACTGAATGAAAGGTCAGAAAGGTGAAGTTTTATCATTAGCTGCAAGCAAATGGACAGCTTCTATTTAAATATTGTTTATTATTAATTATTTACACATAATTCCTCACAAAATGAAATTATCGACAAAAACGCTAATTTCTTTCTCCGTATTTTTGAAGAAGGATTGACTAATGTCAATGTGTTGGCACCTGATCTAAAGCCTGTTGAAGTTAACATGGGTATTTTTTTCCATGTTTTTTTTTGTCACTGGATCAGGCTGTTGTAGAAATCTTCATCATCTGTGTGATGACAATCACCATTCCAAGTCAGTACACCTCCATGTTTTGTTTTAGCCAATCTCTTGGCTGCCTAATGTTGCTATTTCAAAGGAGAACACTTGCTGTGTGACCTTGAACTCTACATTTTCCTGTCTGTCCTAGCATTTTCTGCTGCAGCAGCTCAGTCCACTGTGTGCTTAAGGTTAGAACTATTGCTACAATCTTGTTGATTGGTGCTGTTTAGATAAATGATTTGTGCGTGGGTGCAAGCAGGGGATTCCAGCCAGGATGCTGCTACAAGATTGTTGTGTTCTAGCCTGTATGGACTGAGAAATCCTTGGCAACGAGGCATGAAGAGCCTTGGATAGAGCTATATGCAAAGCTGGAAAAAAGGCATTTCTGAAATGGGATTTGCCGTTTATGACATAGCAAATGCTAAACAGAACCTGAGTGAGCTGTACTGTGACGTGCTGTATTCATTTATGGTCTTCTGTGCTCAATTCAATGTTTTCAATCATCAAGATAAAATTTTTGGAGTATAGTCCTTGCATATCCATCACTTCTAGTACAGCAACTTCTTTGCAACCAAGAAGACCGCTATCTGTAACACTGATTTGGAGAGTCTTTTTTGCTGCTGGAAACCTGGGCTCAAATTGTGCTTACATGCATGATTAACATGAGCCTAGTTCTGAAGCAGTGCTAAAGCATGTTGCTCAGCGGGTTATTTTTGTGACACTGTCACTGTTCCTAAAGTGAGCTCATACTTCAGTGCTTCTCTGGAGCAGGACAAAATCTGACTGAATTTTTAATTCTTTACAGATAAGATTGAATTACTTGTAAGATCAATAGGAATAGCTTAATGATTTTTAAATTCCAAAGGCTGTAGATTCCAAATAACCAAATGAGTAGAAATGACTGTTCTCTTGGAAGCTCTGTAACACATGTGCAGCAGTGCTCTGCGTAAGCATGACAAGCAAAACTTCTTTTTACAAAAGTGACATCTGGTCTCTTCGCAGCTTCACTGTTGAGAGATACAAAAATTAATAGGACAAGGAATATACACCCGTGTTTTATTTCCAAGAAAATAATCTCCTGTGAGTTGTTATTTCTTCCTCTCTTCCTGCTTTGGGCAGAAAAATGGTCTTTGACACATACAGTATGCTTATTCGAAGTGAACTACAGCAGGCCCAGAAGGGCAGTGGAGCTACACAGTTTATTGCCACTTGGGGATCTAACTTACGATTTTTGACCCATGGGTGCCCTTTTCAAAAGTTTTTTTGATAATATTATTCTCCTACCTGTTTGTCCAGAGCACATATCCCTGGAAGAAATAGGATAGCAGAGATCTTATGGGGAATGACTGAACCTCCCTGGCAGAGCTGGTGGAGGAATGCTGCACATTACCTTCCAGGACTTTGACCAGAGCTGGTACAATCAGTCCCTCACTTGCATGGAAAGACACCTGCCCATATCCTAATCAACAAAAGGAGATAAGTGATCCGTTGAAGCAAACGTAAAATTTGCAGTACTCTCAGGGATGTGACCTGGAGTATCCTCAAAAATACCTTGTCCATATTCTGGTATATTAGATTTGGTATGCAAAAAGAGACCAGAGTGCAAATCTCCACATCCCATCCACTGAGTGAGCTCACAGCTCACACAGAAACATCATCTAATAATCTCAATATGCGATAATGAAAAAAACCCAACTTCTAGCCAAAAACTCATAGCAGCAAAATATATCTTAACCTGTTTCATCCAAAACTCCATGCTTCTAACTCAAAATGGAGAACTTCTTAATGGATAGATGGCTTTTGTTGCATCCCTTGAAGGCTAACAAAAAGGCTTACTCTAGAGGAGGAAGCAAGTTTTCAAGTTAAGGGGCCCTTGTGTAGTATGACTTGCTGGCAGCATTTTCGTTACATGTAAGAGTTCTACTTTCACAATTTTGGGTTGGTTTTGTTATTTTTAAAAATTGTTATGGCATTTTGGTTTTACTTGTTTTACCATTCTTCACTTTGAACAGTTGATTGATTGCAGCACGTCTGAAGCCTCTTTTAAACAGAATGGCTCGCATTCTTGTCAGCTGTATCCCAAAGCAGATTGCTCTGGCTGAGCTTGGGGGAGGAAGCATGAACACTGCCCCTGGCCTACAGTGTAGCTTCACGGAGGGAAGCTTCCTCTGTTCTCATTTTGTCCTCTGTGATTCTCTGAGTTACTGGTGGAAGTGATCTGTACGTTCCCCTTGCCAATTGCCTGGAGAAGAATGTTCAAAAGCAGGGAACAAATTCTATCTGCATTTAATGTCTTGTTCAAGCCTTAAAGTAAATCTTAGCTTCATATTGCCATGCTGTCACATAATCACAATCACTGCAATGTTTAGTACTGGGCAAAGTGTCCTCAAGGAGCAGCCAAGAGCTATATTCAATGGATGATGATACACTAGTAAAAGTGAGCTTCCGAAGTGCCAAACACATGTATTTTATCATGGTTATGATGGCTGCAGCAGAACCAAGGGGATTATCTGCCACTGAGATAAAAAAATCAATTTGAGACAGATCAGTGCAGAGTCACAGGACGGAGCCTTAAAAAGTTATTCCAGTCTAAGGCGGAATAGTAAGTTGCTTTCTGTCAGGATAATACAAGCCTATTAAGCAGGTGAAAAGGCAGTGCTAACTGCTACATCCTTTGTGGGAGTGCTCATTCATGCTGGTGGCATATATGGGTCTGGAGATTGCTGTTCTCTGAACCAGCCAATTCTAGGGTGTAGCTCTGTGAGGAGTTTCTGGAGAGAAAGATGAAAATTGTCCTCTGTGCCCCAGATCTGGGCAGCCCCTATTAGTATTGCCAGGCCTGGGAGAGAGGGATTATGCTTTGAATGCAACCTGAAGTCTGTTTCTCAGTTAAATGATTGCAGAGTGTATGAGGCTGGAAAGGATCACTGGATTATTTAAAATTAAACATATATATCAGGCCAATTAATTTAAAACTGTACCAATCTCCAGAAACTTAATAAAGTCCTAGACTGAAGCATTCTGGTCTTCACGAGATCAAATTGCTTGTGCCACAGAAATAGCTGAGACAAAGAGATGGGTAGACACTTTAATTGTCTTTAATACCTGGATGTCACAGATGGATACTTGATTTTTCTTACAACAGAGGAATTTGATCCTGTTCCTGTGCTGTGCTTCTTGAAATGCTGAATGCCTAGATCACACGTCTGTACTGCAACACGTGCTTACCTGGAGGAGCAATGTTGCAAAAAAGAGGGGAAGAATTACTGAGGACCAGCAGAAGAGTGTGGACAATGCACCTGCTCCTGTCTTTCAGAAAGTCACACAGATTTTTCTCTTCACTCTTTCTTAGTGAACTGGACTACCATGATGCTGCAAGTGTCAATGATAGATGCCAAAAGATATGTGACCAATGGGACAGCCTGGGAACACTTACTCAGAAAAGGAGAGAGGCATTGGAGGTAAGCCACGTAGCAATGATCAGCAGCACAGCTCAGGCAGGCAGGGAGGAATGAACCATTTGTTTTCGATCTGGAAACAGTGCCATTGAGCATCCATTTCGGAATCCAAACAGCAGTAAACGCTTTCCTCAGATCTCAATTTCATTTTGATGTGGTTTTATTTGCAAACAGATTAAATTGCTCAGAGCAGACTTGACAGTGCTCAGCTGCCAAGGACAGTCCTAAAGCAGCAACAAATGGTTTGCGGTTTATAGCACCAGTCTTTGGGAGTTTGAAGTCCAGCAAGGATAACAAAAGCCCTTAGTTGCTCACCTTTTCATACTTGTCTGAGCTTCACCAGGTGAGGTACAGTATAACAGCCAGCACTGGGTTAATTTTTGGTAGTGTATTCCCAAGCACTGAGATACTTTCCAAGATCTTGTTCCTTAAGAAAAGAGGAGGTCACACACATGCGTGCCAGCGTGGAAAACGTATGTCTAACTCTTCCTTTTTATACCTATAAGAAATTACAACAGCAAGATTAGCAGGTTTTAATTGATTTGCAGATAGATTAGAATAACAAAGATACTTAAAATATCAGTAGTGAAAAAGTCATTTCACCTGTTAACCCTTCAAAGGCACACACCCTTTTTAACATGTTGGATACGAGAGTATCTTTACTGCAATTAGTCCTGTTGCCTTGAGTGAGAATCCTTAAAGCAGGTGGTGAAATCAGTCAACAACACAATCAATTGCTTTTGAAAAGATGAGGCATGACTTTGTGCGTGCGTGGGGGTATGTGTGGAGGTAGGTCTTTCCCTGGTAACAAAGGAATGTACCTTTCCCAACCTGTACAGAGGACGGAGAAATTGCTCGAAACAATTGATCAGCTTCACCTGGAGTTTGCCAAAAGAGCTGCTCCTTTCAACAACTGGATGGAAGGTGCTATGGAAGACCTACAGGACATGTTTATTGTTCACAGCATAGAGGAAATTCAGGTAAATGGTTGTCTGGTTTTTGGCTTACAATCATAGGGAAGACAAGAAAGGAAGCTTTTCCTTCTTGGGGAGTAGAACACATATAAGAAAAAAAACATTTCCTGTCTTGAAATCTTCTTTGTGACAGGCAATGCCTGCTCTGTTATAAATAGGGTTCTTGGTTGGTATGAAAGCATATTCCAGAGATCATGGAAGAAGCAATGGTCCTGATAAAGTCAATGAGGGCTGTTTCACGAATGTGTCTGGATGTATTATTTCCTGTATCTACAGATGCATGTGGATGGGGTGTTTGGAAGGCTGAGAGGGGGCTGTGCTTATTTACAGCAGATCTTGCAGATGTTGGAAGAAACATTAAGGTTTTCATGCTTTCCTTCTCTGTTTCTGCTTTTAGAGTTTAATCACTGCACATGATCAATTTAAAGCTACTTTGCCAGAGGCAGATGGTGAAAGACAGGCCATACTGTCAATCCAGAATGAAGTTGAAAAAGTTATTCAGAGTTACAGCATGAGAATAAGCGCAAGCAATCCTTACAGCACTGTTACTGTGGAAGAGATTCGTAGCAAGTGGGAAAAGGTAATATATGCTAAATACATAAAGGACATTGTAACATAGTATTCTAGTTTGGGATTATGAGAATATTCAGAGAACATTACAATAAATCTGTAAATTATTGTAGATCATCAGATGCCAGAATGAACTTTCTACAGTATCTTATGCTCTCCCTTATGTTTGCTAGCCTCGCTTCACAATATCCCTTACTCCCATGACTCAATATTGCCGATGTCCTTTTTGGCTTTTTGGCGAGGCAAGAGCAGCATGCGTTGAGGCTAGTGCAGACCTGGTGGCTGGCCAGCTGATGGGCCTGGGGGTGCCATAAAAAGAACAGAAAATGATCATATTCTTTCTCTCAGTATAAATAGTAGTTCATGTGTCTCTTCTACCCAGCTGCTGCTTTTCACAAATGTAAAAAATTAGCATCTTTGGGACCATTAATGTTCTGTCCAATTACATGAAATTGGCAATTACGTTTAAAAATTTCTGGGGAAGGATTAAAGAAAGGCTTGTAGAGCAATCACACAAAGTTTGTTTCATTAGGAACCAAGACAGATAATATGCTGAAGGTAAATTATTGTGTAGAATGTATGAATTTACCAAATACGTGAATTTACACAGACAAGAACACACCCTCACTGGGTTATAAAAACCAAGCAATAAGGACTAAATTCAGAATCTTCCAGGGCAATCCAGAAGGGTAAGCAAGAAAAAAACATTTGCAATGTATTGGAGACCTTCAGATATATGTGATGGACAGAATGTGTCTCATGTTATCCTACCATAATGGCTGTGCTCGAAGAAAATGTGTTTTGCACCAACTGTTCTTAGAACAATTACCCAGAGATTGAAAAATCACTCGTGTTTCTGAAGAAAACCAAAATAACTGCTCTAATAGCAGTTGGAGTTAAATAATTATCTTGAACTTGAATCCAGTCAGAGGTGAGAATTTCTTCCCTCTCCATGTCAGTCTCTTGGGTCAGGCTGCCCAAGACCATGTCAGCAATTTCTTACATTACCACAGAATTGGTAAATAAAATAGTGATCGTGTTTCTGGCTTGTCCTTCTGATATCAACCTTCAGACCAATAAGAAAAATAACTAACTGTAGACTTATTTGTTCCATTTGTTTTTAAACAATTCGGTTGTCCCTACTCACACGTAGTGCTTTCCCACTGTAACAGGTGAAGCAGCTGGTGCCTCAGAGGGATCAATCCTTGCAGGAGGAACTCGCCCGTCAGCACGCCAACGAGCGCCTGCGTCGCCAGTTTGCTGCTCAGGCCAATGTCATTGGGCCATGGATCCAGACCAAGATGGAGGTGAGCGTCAGACCCTCACGCAGAAGCTGATGAACAAAGTGTTAATAATTTTTTATATAGGACAATGGCGATCTCCATGACAGTTCACCAGCTGTTGGAACCTGAAGTATTTAGCACCTGTTAAGGTGGTTTTTAAAACTGTAGAAGCTTGTACACGTGGTATCTTGATGGTGAGCAGGAGATGTAGCTTTGAAAAATCAGTCACTAAACAGTTACTATTTAGCTTCTGCTCTCTGTAAAGGAACGATACCAGGACCACTGGGATCTCAATACTCATTCCAGAAACAAGTGTGCCACATCTCTTTTGAAATGTGTTTTCTACAGTAAAATTTATTGTCTCCACTGCATGAAGGTTTCATTACTATTGCTTCTTAGTATGAAAATATTATATATTTGTGTGAATGTTGGTGAAGTTAGCAAATCTGAAGCTTAAATTTTGCGGGGCGGGGGGGTGTCCTTGTTTCTTTTGACAGGAAATTGCCCGCAGCTCTATTGAAATGACGGGGCCTTTGGAGGACCAGATGAATCAGCTGAAGCAATATGAGCACAATATCATTAATTATAAACACAACATTGACAAACTGGAAGGAGACCACCAGCTTATACAAGAAGCCCTGGTGTTTGACAACAAGCACACAAACTATACTATGGAGGTAGCCATTTACTCCCTTTTGTACTTGTTAGTTTATTCTGCCCTTGTCTGCCATGTAACTGCCTTCTCTGATCTGAAGAGACTGCAACAGAGGATGGAATTTGGTGGACTTTCTGATAATCTCATAAGACTTGTTTTATTTTCACTTATTTTTACTTGTAGTGAAGAAGTACCTATTTAGAAACCAGTTCCATATTTTGCTGAAGGCCGTTTTTATTTTTAGTGATCCTTGGTCATAATACAGAGTTAGTGGTGTGGAAAAGGTATCACATATTTAGACCTGGTTTTTTTGCTTACTGTAGTTTTTATACTCTTAGAAGAATATATTTGATTCTTTAATAAATCAGTATTTTCTCTCTCATAGCACATCCGTGTTGGATGGGAGCTCCTACTTACCACCATTGCTCGAACTATCAATGAGGTTGAGACTCAGATCCTCACAAGAGATGCCAAGGGTATCACCCAGGAACAAATGAATGACTTCAGAGCATCATTCAATCATTTTGACAGGGTACAGTACTCCTGCTTTTTCTCAACTAGCAATATTTATTGTTCCCAAAAGCAAGTTTCTTTTTATTCCAAATGTAAGCCTGTTAGAAAACTGCAGATGCAGTTGCAATGGGCTCTTTTATAAAGCAGCAAAAATTATGAGTTAACAAAGAATTTACAGCTTTATGAAATCACAGCATTCTACAGATATGTTAAAGATTAATTTTTACTCTTTAAATGTAATGCAAAATTATAGTTCTGCTAATATGGTTGAGTATTTGTTCAAATAACAGGCAGAACTGGATAAACCTGTGTTTTGGAAAATAACGTGCCCCTTTATTTTGAGGCAGTGCAGCATATTCTATGTACTTACCAGTGGCTTCCGTCTCATTGAATTTAGCTGTAATCTGGATTACAGGTTTGTTGTTTTTTTTGTTTTTTTTTTTCCTATAATCACAACTTGTCCACCTAGAAATAAGTTTGTAGGGAATATAGTTGGGGCACTGATAGCTGTCAAAGAAAATCCTTTATTTTTCTGTCTGTATGTGGGAAATAAGAGGCTGTTTTTTTCAGTTACCTAATCATGGGTGAATAAAAAAGTAGGAACCAAACCACTATTGCAAAGAAACTTAACTCACTCCTTCTGCGAGTTACGCAGTATTCATGGATAGACGGTTAAAAAGATAGCTATTAATAGACACAACAGCAAAAATTCAAATCATTTCAGGCTATAGCAAAATGGCACTTTCTTTTCATAGACGTCCTGTTTGTCAAGCTCTACTCAAAATGGTTGCCCATACCTGGACTTATACTTGATGTGCATTGGATGCTGACAGTCATAGTTTGCTAACTATTCTTTAGAATATCCTTAATTACTTAGAAAGAAAACCAGAATTGCCAAACCTCTGCAAGCATAGGAAAGGTTAGCTACACAGGAGCCAGGAAGAGAGTTTATGGAAAATCTTAATGTGATTCTAGTGCAGCGTAATTCCTTTTTGTATTTTCTAAGGAAGCAGAAGATAACATCACAGAAGCAGAGATAAATTTCCTGGGGTGGAAGGAAGTAGCATACTAAATGGCTTTCCCAATGCACTGGGGCAGATAACTGAGCAATTAGAGCTATTAAAAGCAGAGAGAGTACCAAGCCTGGATAAATTACACGCCAGTATTTGAGAGACCCTATTAGGGGAAACCAGGCACTTTGCACAAAGATTTGACAGCTCCCTAAAGATAAGGAAGCAAGGTGACTGAATCCTAGTATAACTTACGCTAGATGGCCATTTCTAGCATCCCTGTATCTTTGTAGTTCCTAAATGAGTTCTCTGCCACGCTCGCGGCAAGGCTGGCTCAGTGGCTGAGGAGATATTACAGGCATCTCTTGGTGCCTTGGAAGGCCTTGAAGGGAGAAGGTAAATCCTACACCAACCAACCGTATTGTTACGGATCTTCAGGCTTTGCAGATACAGTTAGACTTTGAGATACAAAGGATGCAATAGGGCAAGGCCTTAGGAAAGGTTGTACGGCCTGGAAGAGGGTGCTGGTGTCACATGGCTGCAGGCGGGTTGGAGATGGGCTGTGACAATAACGTGCAATGCAGAGGTCCTTCCCAGATCCCTGCCTAACCCTGGCTGTCTCCTTTCTTCAGGCTGGAAGGAGTCGTGGCTTCAGGCAGTGTCCCTTCTGCCCTTCCTTGTGCGTGGCAGGAAGCCTGAGTGGCCGGGCCAGAAGCAGAAGGAGATAGATAGATGCTTCACCTGTTTCTGTGGCCTTAACAGCCTGTGCCTTGACTGCAAGTTTAGCTGCAGACCTTACCTCCCCCCATGACAGATACAATCCAAAGGCCTTAAAAAAGAGGCTGGAAAGATCACGCTAAGGGAAGGACCATTTTGCATATGCCCTTTAGCCAGCTCCTTCCTTTGGCATCAGACATGGGAAACTGATCTAGGAGGACTTTTGCACTAACGTAGTGCAACAATTATGTTCTTAGTAGCATAATGCAAGTTAAAGGGAAGAAGGTAAGATCTAAAACCACTCAGCCATCAAGCCAGGCTTTCTGCAGGGAGCAGATAGTAGAAACACTGATAAAAGAGAAGGTTATACTGATTAAATTACGCTGTAATTCAATGGGCAGATGCAACTCAATCTACACAGGCTAGGAGGAGACATTGAACAAACATGTCTGAGAGAGGCAGGCTTTTTTTTTCATTTTTATATCCTTTCTATGTCCTAGCACATTCAAATATTTAGTGTGGGTGAATAAAGGAAACCCAGGGTGCTTCGGAGTTACTTCAGGGTACACAAAATAATGAAGACTCTAAACTTAGAGGAGGCAGTAATGGATTCTTTTATGGTCTTGATTACCTTAAACAGAAATGAAGATGAAACTGGATCATCTGAACATAAGCACTAACATGAAAAATACTGTCTTCTACATGTCAGACAGAATTAGTAGTATATGTAATAATTTTGTTGCACTTAGCAGCATTTCTGAATGCCTGACATAATTTAAAAAACACTGAAAGAACTGGACTGCTATTCACAATGATGAATAGCCAGAAAAGATCCCCAACTGTCCCTGACAAGTAGGCTTTAAATACCTAAGCACAACAGAATCATTTATGCATGCTAGAGCTCTGGCTTCTGTGGCATTTCTCCAATTTCATACATACTGTAATGTTTGACTCTTCGGGTGTGTTGAGGATGTCAGCAAGGTACTAATATGCAGAGCAGCTCCCTTCCCCATTTGAAAGAATGTATTTTAGTACACATAAACCTAACAACTTTTTATAGAGCACTTCCAGAAATAACTTCCTTTGCTCATAAATCTGAGGAAAGAACCCCTATCTTCCTCCCCAGGAAGAATATCTTAAAAAAAAAAGGAAACCTTACAATTCATAATCCATTATGGGGCTTAATTCTGGAGTTGTTAATCCCTTGAAAGAGAGCTAAATAAATGAGTGAATTGTTTTAAATGGCTTCTATATCTTGAATATTTGAAAGAAAACTCTAGGGTATTTCACAAGGTTTTTTTTTGGGGGGGCTACATGCCCCTGATGCTCAAACTGCAATGAGTAAGTGGGCACCAAGCATATAAGAATTACAAGGGCAGGAGGAGTTGTGTTTCTGTCCGCGCGCCCAGCAGCAGAGATGTGCTAGCACAGAAAGCGCTGCAAGTCATCCGCGTTAAGGGCAAGTTGTAAATGTGCTCTCTCCCTCAGGGCGAAGGGGCAGCCCTCGCGGCTCTGAGTTTCCAACAGGCAGGTACGCACGCTGGTACCCCCAAGGTTATTCCTGGGGGTGCTGCTGCTCACCTACTGCTCCGTGCCTAGGCTGTGCCTGAAGGAACACTCTAGTTGTAGCTGTAGATATAAATCTTTAGCAACGCTGGTAGATTTCCTTCCTTAATGTGACTGCATAGAGGAAAAAAGAGAAAGTGGGACACAGTGTCTGAATCGCAGAAGCAGTTTAGAAGTGTTCAAAATGGTGCACAGCTGGGTTATGGTATGCAGGCAAATTGGGACACCAGCACGGGTATGTTGTCAGTCACTGGTCTTGTTATACAGGGATTCCTTTTTCAGATTCAGTATATTTAGTAAATTCTAAAGAAGATTGTGAGTATGTGATGAAATATCTGCAGCTGCTCTGCATGTAATATCCTAATGGCTGTTAACATATTCTACTATTGATTTTTGTGCAAACTACAGATTTTAAGTAGGAGCTCTGCATGCAGAACAATAGCATCGTGCCACCCTATATTTTACTAACAGAAAAACAACAGCTCCCCATTAAAGGAACCACATGATTAGGCTTATGCGGGTCAATTAGCATTCAGGAAACTGAAGGACATAGTTAAGAATGGATTACTTTTTGACTCAGAAGCTCACTTGTTTTATAAGGCCACACATAAATCAGAAAGGGGAAGGAAAAGATTTCTGAGGACTAATAATGAGATGTGGAGGGGGACTTCAGTGTTTTACTTTGTGTTGGCAGGAAAAGATGAACAAGGCAAAATTACGTATATGCTTTAAAAAACTAATTTCAGTGCTTAATGTTGATCTGCAAACAATAAAAAAAAAATACAAAGAACCATTTCCCACTGAGAAAGCCCTTGAACGGCCTTGATCTGTGCATTAATTGCAAAATACCATTGTATCCCATGAAACTCTTACAGACTGCAAAGGCAAAGATGCCTTCTTAGGCATCTGATTTAAAAAATGCACTATGGGAATGTGAGAACCTGCTGCAGCATACGGCACAGCTACGTGGACCCTCACTGGGGAGTCCCACGTGACGAGATGAGGGTTGTGAGCTCCAGCACCACCTTGGCTCTCCTCTCCTAAAGAAAATGGTTTCTTGGAGATGCGCCGGCCTCTCTCACTCCCGTCTGCCCTGCACTACCTGTTGCACAACTACCACTGCCATGTGCGCCTGGTTAGAGAGCTCGGGCACACAGTGCCCACCCACCCCCCTGGTGTAGTCAAATAGCTAACAGTCCTCTACCAACACCTGGCAGAGGAGGTGGAGGAACAGGATTTGGCTCTTAGATCCCATTTTTATATCATTTTGCTTGCAGTCACACAGTAATGTCTAGAAATAAAGTAAAATGAGCTGACTTTGCTCCTGGTGTGAGCTGCCTCTCTCCAGCTTGGGTTTTGAGAGTTTCAAGCCAGCCTAGATTAACATTTTCAGAATGATAAAATAGACCATTTTGAATGCTTTATAGCAGGAATTATCCTATAAACTTGAAATACTAAGGGAAAAAAACTTTGGTGTGATGATGGCTTTTAACTAAATGGTGCTCCAGCTTTGCAGCTTTGCTTTATCTCTTGTCATTGACTTCCCGTGGTTATTTCATCTTCCCATTATGGAGCTGGTGGAGGTTGATGCAGAGGGAGTCAATACAATAACAGCATGGCATATCAAAAATGCATGGTGTTATGAACTTAATAAACCACCACCTTATCCTATTAGTATATTAAATAAACCCAGTGCATTTGTTAAAACTCCTGTAATTTTAGTTATGCATAACCATATAGAAATTTTCAGAAATAAATTATTCATCCAGCAGACAAGTAGCAGACAAAAAATCTTGGATCTTCTCCAAACTATCAGTCTGTAAAATCAATAAGGGTAATAATTTTTCATCTTAGAACATCTCTTTGATTGTACTCATGTTAGCTCAATCTGAAGTACACCTCTGATAGGACACATTTTGTATGAACAAGAAGAAAAAAACAAGCCAGTCTGCTTTTAAGAAGTTAGTGTGAATTTCTTGACCTGCAAAAGGGAAAAAAATACTGGTTCTAAACAATGATCATGTTTGATGTGGTGTTACTAGGAGCCATTTAACCTGCAATTCAATGGGGCTTCTTTAAAGTCAGTTTTCAAAGCAGAACCTTACTGTATACATTAATAAAGAAGACAGATAACTGAAAATAAGATGTCACATACATTTATTTTGGATCTAGACAAGAAATCAATTGTTTTGTAGTTCTACTCTCTTTTGAGATATACACACTCAGTTGTAAAGTACTATTATCAGATTCAGAGTGAAGTGACAGTAATTGAGTAGGGGAAAATGTTTTGCCCAAGTTCAGTGACCTTCTTACTGCATCTCACATACACTGTATGACAATAGAAAAAGAAGGAAGCAAATGGCAGTTCAGTAGAATAAAAACTGCCTCATCAGCAAAAATGTTAAAAAAGCACCTGAAGAGGAAGCACAGTTTTAACTCTGTAGCTGAAGTAAGGACCCTCTTCCACTAAGAAAAAAAACTAAAGCATGAAACTGCAAAAGTTGTACACTTTTTATTCATTGTACACTTTTTATTCATTGCAATATGTTGACATTATGTGTCCATGAACTTCTGTAAAATATGTGGCTATTAATACAAGCGTAGAATGCTCTTTACTAACCAACTAACCCGATCTGTGATTTTTCTTTCTTTCCTCTCACCTTCCCAAATGCATGACCTGTGATGGGATGCTAGGATGAATCTGGCAATCTACATTCTGATGAATTTAAAGCCTGCCTCATCAGTCTAGGACAGGTTGGAAATGACTTGCAGGTAGAGGAAACTGGTATTGTTCTGTTTTCAGATAGGCCAATATAGTAACAGCCAAAGAGACTGTAGATTTAAACTCCAATGTGTTGGTCATAATGCTTTGAAAAGATCCTGCCTCTGGGAAGACCACTAGATTAGATGGACTGTCAGCATCACTTGGAGCCATATTTATCTACGCATTTCTCAAAGAATTTTCATGTTGTTTGTTTTACTTGGTTTGAGATGTTTTATTTGGACTCTACTAGATAACTATGGGGAGCTCCTATGCTTCTTACATGCAGACTTTTCCTAATTTTCCTTTCCTCAGACTCAACACAAGTTCTCTACTGCTTTCTCCTGATTTAGGATGACACAATTCTCTCCAAACCGTTACATTATTTCACAACACAGTGGAATCATCTATCTACCTTCTTACTATTGTGCCATTCTCTTTTTAGACAAGGTCTTCACCTGACCTCCTTCTATGTCATGCAAGTTGCAGCCTTTAAGCCAGTACGCACATCTCTCTGCTGTAGTCCAGGTCTTGGTAGCCTGCAGTCAGAAGGAAAATCCCTGTACTGATTTCCTATATGTCAGCAGGCAGCTCTCGTAGTGTGTCTGCCTTAGCCCTGGAGTGGAGGACTTGAAACGGTCAGTGATATGCTATTTTCAGTCTGTTTTTAACTATACTTTTAGTCCCTACAGCATCCTGTGCAGAACCTTTCAAAGACATTTCATATCAGGGAGGCAGCTTGAGCATCTCCTGAGTTTGACTAGTTTAGTAACAAACTTTTCTCCTTGCCCTTCTCTTTGTCTTCTCTGGCTGTGGTCTCCGTATTCTTGTCTCGTTCACCTCCTCTTCTCCCTTATCTCTCCCTGACCTTTCCTGATGTTACTTTTTGTGGTGAAAATGTCCGTTTCCTGTGTGTAATATGTTAGTTACTTCTTCCTCCTTTAAAACTGATGATGATTCTGGCGACCTGCTTGGGCAATATCAATGAATACTCTTCATACGCTGGATCCAATATGCCAATGGTCTAAACTCATCACCTCTCTGGAAATTACCTTGGATGCTTCAAACCTTCCCTTCTATGTTCCTTACGTTGTTTTGGTCAATAGAGGAAGAATGGATTGATGGACCATGATGATTTCAGAGCTTGCTTAATTTCAATGGGTTATGATTTGGTATGAATTTTAAGAAACAGTAGCAACTGATTCTGCTTACAGCTTGTAACATTAACCACAGCAACACTAAAGCTTATTTAAATTGAGAGAATGCTAATAACATAATTTACACTAGAGATACTAGTTTCTTGTTTCTCTGCTTTTTCTCTATTTTAAGTGATTAAAAAGAAAGTTAAAAGTAAAACTAGACACTTGAAAGCCATATTCTGTGGTCTGCTGCATTGCTCTTTGAATTAAGGAAACTTTAAAAGGTGAAATTAACAGCTATTAAATGAATCTTTTTTTCTTTCTCCTTTTTCATCTGCATGACGAAGAATGAATCTGATGCTGTTTATTTCTCATAAACTAGCTTTGGGGGTTGTATTTGCTTGCCTTCACGTATTTATTCTAAAATTCTCCCCCAAAATTCACCCCTTTGATTGGAAAAAAGGATCAGCCTTAATTGAACTGTCCTGTATTTGGCATGAAAATTTCAGAAGTATTTCCCCTACTTCTTCGTTCAGTGGGTCTGCAAGTACACTGCTTCTTGCGCTATTGTTTCCCCTCCCTGTGCCATACCAAAATTACAATGGTTTTAGGATGGGGTAGAAAATGAAGTGTTAAGTTAAAAGAAGTTAAACAGGGATTGAGGGAGGATGGGAGGGGCAGAAGTTGCAGAAAGTGAATTGAAAGTTACATACTATGTATTGAGGACAAAGAATACATTTTTTGAAAGCACTGAGTCCTTTTTACAAAGGAGGGGTGGGCATTTAAGATCCTAGATTTCATTGACTCTGACATTTATGTTCTTAAGTCAGGAAGATGCTTTAAAGACTTTGTAACCACTGGTCCTTACTGGTTCATGACAGACAGGGGCTGTTGGTGACTGATATTATGGTGACCATTTCTTTTTGTTTTGGATTCTGTGAAAGGGTGAAGCTGAGTTTGCCCGAATCATGTCTCTGGTTGACCCTAATGGGCAAGGAACCGTCACTTTCCAGTCCTTCATTGATTTCATGACCAGAGAAACTGCAGACACAGACACGGCTGAGCAAGTGATAGCTTCCTTCAGAATCCTGGCTTCAGATAAGGTCAGTCATCCTGCTGCTGCCTGTAAGGATTCAATAGCTTTCCTATTTAGCCCTTCTTTGCTGAAAGTCTTCTACAAACCTTTTAGTAATAGTGAGGCTTTGTTTTCAGTTTGTAAGACTTCGGAGAAGGCACTTGCCTTTTCTTCTTGTTTGGAACCAAGACTCTTAGCTGAAATGGGTGCAGAATTCGAGGCTCGGTCTGTATACTCTCATATCGCAAAGAGACAGCATAAAATTAGACATCTTAGACAAGACTTAGACAGTTTGTCTGTATGATGGATATATTTTACATCAGGTTATTTCCACACAACAGCCTTGATTAGAGGGGAACTCATTCTGCCTTTCATGCTGTTGCCTGGCTGTTTCAATGCAGAGTTTGACCCTCTGGAATATAGCCTGGGTCAGTTACGCAAGACTACACCTGAGCCAGGTTGTGTGACCTGCCAACTCATTCAACGGGGCAACGCAATGTGCTGTATCCCTGTCCTAGGAGGAGCCGGAGGAGGAGGTGGCCTCCTCTGGTTACTGGGTATGTGGAGGAAGCTCCTGGGTTTGGCATACATTCCTGCCCCCAGCCAGATCCACTGGCAAGCGAGTAGTCTATGAAGATGAAAGGGGAGGATAATGGCAACACAAGAGCTTCTGGAGGAGTCAGGGCCATAACCAGTGCTGCCAGGAAACCAGTCCTGTGCTATGGAGAAAGGAGAGATCACAGCACTACAGGTCTATTTTCCCAGGCTCGCTCTATTGATTTTCTCATTCCAGCTGTTTGTATTGATTTTGTGATCTCAGTTACTGTGGACCACATTTTGAATTCCAGACATGTTCTCAGTAGGAATTCATGTGGAAGATGAAAGCTAACGCCTCAAGAAAAAATGGTTTTCATTACCTTGCTATTTTAAATAATGTCAAGTCTGTTAATAGAGGGTATCTTTCATGTTAAAAATGCAAACCATTAAGAGCAATAATGCATCCTTCATTACAAATATATTAGGATGTTGAAACTGCCAAGCTCTAACTGAAAATGTGTCTGTCCTGTCGCTGCGTAAGGGGAAAAATAGCCAAGATGTCTGATTTTATTAGTCACAGCTATAGAAAATAAGTATCTTTTGTGTCTTCGAAGAATACATGCTGACTGTCAATCCTTTCCCCCCTCCCAGCCTTATATCCTGGCAGATGAGTTACGCCGAGAGCTGCCTCCTGAGCAGGCGCAGTACTGCATCAAGAGAATGCCTCCGTACACCGGCCCAGGCTCTGTTCCTGGCGCTCTGGATTACACCTCTTTTTCGTCAGCACTGTATGGAGAGAGCGACCTCTGATTGTGTAATTGGCTGTATTCATGGTAGACACTAAAAATACCCATCTTGTTGCCCAGATTGCTTCTTAAAACCTTTGACAAGCTGATTTAAAAATGAGTTTTACGAATACAGTAGGTATCATCAGTGTAAAGTGCTAGTAACTAAAGTAACTAGTGTATATTAAAGTGTGCGGCACGCTAGATTTCTGCATTGTTGGTTTTAGGTTGTCTGTCCTGTACTATGCTAGAAAATACAAAAAAAAAGGAAAAAAAATCACAAGATGTTAACTCTGGAAATATCCATTCAGAAAATAGAATGTAAAACCTAAGAACGTTGAAACTCACAAAATGTTTCTCCATTTTCAAAGTTTTTCAATGCCATATGTGCTTCTTCTACGATGTTCATAAAACTATGTTAGAAGTCATGCTTTTTCTTTCGTAAAGCAATATTATTTTCCTCTAATAATTTCTGATTTTGTATGCTTATACTGGTGGAATTTAATAAAATATTAAAATGCAGTTTTTCGGGGAAGAAATATATCAATGAAGTAAACTAATTAATTACAAAAATAATCCAGAATGCTATGCTTTTGTCTCTTAAAGATGGTTTTATCTTATCACAAAGAGTTGTAATATAGGGGGGGGAAAGCTGAAAAGCTGATTAAATTGCAGGTTTAGAGTTCTGTATGCAGTACTTTTAGGCCTTTAACTTTTACAGCTGAGGGAGTACAACTTTTATAATCAGAAGGAAGTTAATTTCATGTGAGCTGTTTTGTTTTGAAACCCTCATTCTTGTCTGTGTTGGACAGTCTTTATCTCTCAGTATAAGAAAGCCAGTCCCTTGTTGCATTAGTGGGCAACATTCATCTCTGTCCTGCACAATGCAAAATCCCATCTGAGCAAACGTCGTGTGGTCGTCTCGCGGCTTTAACTGTTCAGTGCTCAAATTTCAGTTTGTCTTGACTTCCACTGGATCGGAGGCAGTTCTGTCTGTATTATACTCTTCTGCGCTAGTTGTTTTACTGGTTTCTTTTTCCATCTTGAGAAATGATAGAGAAGTAAAAGCAGTAACTTTTTTACTTGAATCCTACCGACACTGAGGAAATGCAATGTGACCATTTACAAATGGTGAAGTAAGCTGTGCAGCCCAGTGCTATCAAAGCAATGATGTGCCTATGAAATAAAGTCTGCTTTTCAAAACCTTATGAGACTCTGTCATTGGCAATCATCTAGTGGTTCTCTCTAAGAACTGCAAATATTTCTGAATATTGAAGGAGGTGTCAGTCTGCTAAACGTGAAAGTATGTCATGCATTTCTGGGCTCTGTGTTTGCATGGACAGTAGCTAGTGCTGGAGGGACAGGTACGGCCTCATGAAGCGAGACGGAGCTCAGAATGAGTGGGACAGAGTTTCCATTTAAGTCACCTGAGCACAGATGTCCATGGCTTGTTCGACTCCTAGCTTAGATTGACTTCAGTGAGACTTAGGCACTAGTTCTTTTGAAGATGTTGCCCTTAACTGTTCTGTATCTCTCTTTCTCCTCCTACAAAAAAGCAGATGTTAAGTACGCAGTGATGCTTTCACTGGCCTTTGCTTTGAAATCCGTGAATGAGAAGCATTAAAAATCTGTGTGTGATTGCAGTCCTAGAACAGGCGTCCTGCAGGTGAGGTGCATGTGGTGGGAGCAATTTCAAAACAATCCCAGAGGAGACAGGCAGTGACCGAATAACTCTTCCTCCTCCACCTTGGGTACAAAGGCCAGCAGAGGACTTGGAGAAATGCTAGGGCTAGAATCTCATCTCCAACAGCGCATGTGCAGCCTTGCACACAGCCAGAAGCTGCTGCTGCCCCTACTGATACTGACAGAGTGCAATGCTGTCTCTTTTTGTGATGACAGTGCCCATACAAACTAAATCGGGAAGCTCTGCCTAAAAGCAGTGGCATTTCCAGCTAAATGACTGCTGGGCAGGCTGAATCCTATTAAAAAACAAATCTGTGTGTGTCTCATTGTCACAGTTCTTCCATGCAACTGGGAGAATAAAACATTGAGCTTCTGAACACGGCACAAAAGCAAAATCTCAGTGCTACAGGCAGGATTATGCTAAAAATTGGCACAGAGACAGTTTATATCTGACACGTCGATCAGTTGTTGTTCATGTTCTTTACCTGCTAATTTTTATGTTGTGATACTCTTCCTATTTTTGATAGTATGGAAGAGACTTATAAACTCCTCCTTTAGCTAAATGTTCTGTTGATCAAAGCATGTGAGAGATGTTACCAGCATCAAGAAAAAAAGACTTTTGCAAAGTAATTTTTCATTCCCATATCAGGTTTCTAATTTCTAAAGTAGAGTGAACAGAACCAGTGGCAGAGAGCTGTAGGGATTAATTACCCATTCATACATGCCTAAAACTGTTATACCATATTTATTACTGTAATATGTCTTTCATGTAAAAAAAGAGATGTATCGTAAAGTTATTTCTCCCAGCATCAATTATTTTTAGGGTAACTAGATTAAATAAATAAGCTGTCTTATTTTACCCTGAAGAGGGTAAAATTCAAAGTTTTTAAAATACTCTGTGGTCAAGTTCCAGGGCTATGGGTTTAACAGAGAGATTTCCTTTTCCTCTAAGCCTCCATTTTGAGTAGATGGCATTTGTATTTTTCTGTAGAATCGCTCTGTTCACACTGGAAATCGATGTAGTGGCATTTTCTGTCTACACAATTCTGGCATCAAATTAGCTGCACTATAAAAAAAGCACAGTAACTGAGCCCAAGGTAACGAATGTACCAGTGACAGGGGCCCAGTCGAGGTGCAACAGGTGAAGGTGAGCATTATTTTGATGATCACATGAATGAAGGTTATAGAATAAATTAAAAATTCAGAAAAGTCAGCAAGGCTTTAAGTTGCTTTAATGACTGTAATACAGATGTATTCTGTGACTTTGCATGGATACAACAGTTCTTTGAAAAACTTCCTGCCAAGATAATGTTGATTTTGTAGCAATTATTTTCAGTCAGTGATCTTCAGAAAGATGCTGAGGCAGGTAGAAAACAGTGTGTCAGCTCTGTGCTACCTTCATACCCCCTTTCTTCATATATGGAGTTTCCAGCCCTTCTTTTCTTACCTGCTGGCGACAAAAGGCTTGGATCAGTGCTGCTCCTGGCAGCTTGTGCTTCCATCAGAACATCCTGTCGCTCCGTTTGCCCACTTCTCGGAGGAGACCATGCTCTTTTATTCAGGTTGTTCCCAGTGTCTGCAGAGGTTTTTCCAGACACAAGTGGTCTCAGTGAAGGAGGAAAATAGTTCCTGTTACCATCTGGATGGTTAGCAGTTTCCTTTTTTGATTTAAGTGGCTTGTGGTTGAGAGCAATTCTGTAAGGAAGTAACCGTTTGATCATTGCTAGTATATGAACAGGCCCTTAGGAGAATGCTGCCAGCATTGGTAATGGTGTCAGTATTCTTTGGTGTGCTTCTGCAAACAGTTCCAGTAATATTTAGATGAGAAAATAATACTTAGGTAGAGGTGACACTTCTTATACGAACATTCATCACTTAATTTTGCCAAATGCAACTCCTTGGTCCTCATCTTCTTCAGTGGGAATGTGCCTCTTGGTGTCATATGGAGTTCTAGACTTTTAAGAGAGGAACAAGCCTGAGGTCATTCTTCAAAACAAGGAACAAAATCTGTGAAAGTCTGATATAAATAAAGAAACCAGGGAATAATCTGTATGAAAATTAGTTATAGAGAAGGATCAGCTCAGTCAAACAAGAAAGTATGCACATCACTTCTGTATCTCGAGCACAAATTAAAAATTATTAGATCTGGCGCTCTGCTTGTGTTACACTAGAAAATTACATTAGAGCAGCTGCAAGTTTAGCACACTGGAAGTTTAGCACAACATGCCCATGTTTTGGATTCCTGACTAACTTAGTTCTTACCAGGGAAAACTGCTCAACGGTCTCTGAGTTATTGTGTTACGTCAGGATTTATGTCTGAAAAATCCTCCCTACTTCTGGAGACAGAGCACTAGAGGAGGTGGTGCTGTTGTGGTGGGAACACTTCAGTGCATTACACACAAAGCACCCCACAGACTCTTCTCAGAATCAGAAAAACATACCAACATCTCCTGAGATGCCCAAAATGCTCAAATACCAAATATGCAATACCTACTATAATTACACAGTATGACCATTGCTAGTGTTGCTTCAGGCTTGCTGGTCACTGAGGCTTTCCTCTCTTGGAAAACATTAACAAGGTTTCTGAATAACTGAAATACCTGTTCTTTCCCCGTGTCCCTCTGCCCCAAGTTTTATGGGTAACAACCTGTGCGCGTATTTGCTCGTGCATCAGTCTGCCGTCTGCTTGTGTTCTGAGGGCGTTTTAGCTACGGAGCTGCTTCACCAGGGTGAAGACTGCACTGCAGGTAGCTGTTAGTACGTACCAAATGTTTTTATATAGGAAGACTGACTGTTCTAAACTGGATTTTATTTTTTATTAGCCTGTTTTTAAAAGCTGTGATTCCTTTCTAATTTTAAGCCAAGGTGTGGGCTGCCACTACAAAGGACAAGGCTATCTCCACTTTTTCCGTGATCCCATTTATTTATAAATAGAACAGTTCCCTGGTCTGGTTACTGTGCTGGCTGGGAATACATCTCCAGGGTGCTAGGAATGGTAGATTATCCCGTCCAGCAGCAGCCTGTATTTACATTACCTTAAAGTGATTGTGTAACTGTGGAATTACGGACCCAGCCATGTGCTTTCACCAGAAGTCCAGAAGTATTCACAACAAAAGAATGTTTATGTGTAAACAGCCTTGAGCCTGTACTAGGAAGACCACTCATTTCCCCTGTAAAGTGAGAGCACTACATTAAATGAGAAGCCCAGTCTTCTCTCTGTGTGAGCTTGACTAGGATTTCACATTCTAAGCTTCAAAAGAAATTCCTCCACCAATCTGCTAGGTTTTGGGAAATTTCATTAGCATTTGTAATACTACTTTGCACAGATTTGATTATCAGCACATTGCTTTAATTACTTGGAAATCATATACACTGGATGAATGGCCTGAGGGGCTCAGTGTCCTGAGGCCATTTTACCACCCACCCATCCCTCATCCACTTGCTCCTGGCTGTTCTGTTTCAAAACCTGGCCGTTTTGTTTGGCCTCCACTCATGGAAACTTTCTTCCCTTCAGGATACCTGTGACTGCTTTAAGTCAAAAAAGCCCTCGAGCGCTGCCTGCAGGAGGGTGGTT